GTGCAGTATAGATTAGCCAATCCTCTGTATAGGCCATATTATCAAAGGATCGATTGTTACTGTTGTCTTTTCTGGTAGATGAGTTTCATGCTGCAGTAGTACCATTTCTTTTGGAAATGTGTATGTGCTTATTTCTCTAGTATAAGTTTTTGTAAATGAATATACAGTACAACAGTTCTTCTGTCCCTAAAGATACACAGTTTGAGAAACAGGTGTACTAAAGAATTAGTCCCCTCTGACCTTTTACAGCTCATCATTTAATGGTGAGGTGGGTGTTTACAAAAAGTGAAGAGGTCCCAAAGTTATCTTGAACACAAATGGGTAACTTTTTGTCATACTTATATTTTTTTTAAAATCTATAAGATAATTTAATATATTTTAGTATTTAAAACCATGAAAAGTTGGAATGTCATACTTTAATAAAAAGTTATTTCAAAACCTGAATCACTTTGTGATAAGATACAGTGTTGTAGGGAATTCAGCTTTCAATGGCACTTCCTTCTAAAAGTAAAAATACAATTTGAGCCCTGTCAAGAAAAGATAACTTTAAGTCACTATTTTACCATTGATTTGGAGGTCTCGTTAGCTTATATATAGATGTGGTAATAAGTTGTTAGTTGTCTTTTGTTATTACTGTGCTTAACTGAAATAGAGATGTTTGGGCCAGTGGCCTCTCTGTGTGTGGATGTGACATTTTGTATGCTGATTTCTACAACAGGATAAGTGTTCAGAAGTGGCAAAGATTTTGGAGAAAATGTCGTTAAAAACTCATTTGAGTAGACTCTGGATTGTTTGAATGTTCTTGACATTCTGTGTAGTATGGCCAAGCCATGTTCTGTTGGAAAGTAATGGAGAGGCATGTATAAGGATTTAGTGCTGAAGCAGATTGAACTCTTTGAGGTTCTGGGATGTTAAAATAGAGAATTTTTGGTTCCAAAAAGCTAAACTAGTTATAGTAATATGTAATGTTGTTCATAACAGTGCAGTTTAGCTTTTTTTTTTCCTTTATTTTCAGTGAACAAGTGAAGAATAGTACTTCTTGCTGTGAGGAACTTTGTACTGAGAAACAGTAATTGAATTGCACACAATTAGTCTATAGCCTGTATTAGCATGTTTCAGTAAATTTGTTGCATCATATACTTCAGTGCTCTAATGACAGCTTAAAACCTTTCAACAGTTAATTTGTGTCAGACTTCAGGATTAGATTACATGTTGGCGGTAATGGAATCTTTTATGAAATGACCTCAAGTGTATCATAGGGAGGAGAGGGTGGCATTGGTGCCTAGTCATCCATCAGCCTCACTGATGACATCTACTGAAATATCTGTAGTTAACAGAAAATAATGGCACTGCATTGTGAATGGGCACTTTCTAAACTAAATCTGTCACAAAGAAGTAAGTTCCTTGGTGAAAAGTGTATTTCTTCCAGTGTTAAATTTTTGTCTGTGTATGCTATGGATTTATACAGTATTTATTATGTAGAAAGATGGCTTAAACACAACTCTTATCAAAAGCTGTTGTCTTTGGAGATGACTGTAATTCTCAAGTCATTCCAGTCTCCCTCAGAAAAGTCTCCTACAAGTAACGGAGGGGAGAGGGATAATAGCTTGCGTGCTTTTTGTAACCGCAGAAGTCTTACAAAGCTTTCAATGAAATTTCTTAGTCCTTGTGGATGCAGGTCATTCTGTAGAGGATTTGTTTTACTGACTGGTGGTTGGAGATGCTTGAAACAAGTGCTTTAATTGTACTTTTTAAGGATATCTGGTTTTAGTCAGAGCAGCACTCTGAAATTTACGGAATCTTTCAATACTCATATTCTGAAAGACAGACTTCGCAGCTTTCCTAGCTTCGAAATTGTCACTTGAACTGCATTGTTTTCCTTATCACATCTTGTTCCCAATATTGAGCTAACAGGAAAAAAAGGCATTTGTGAAGAGGGTGCAGTCATGTTACAGGTTTTTTTTTTTGTCATCCCCTTCAAGCATGACTGAGATCAGTGAAATTAAAGCCATTCTTTACTCAACTAGATCTTTTTGCAGTTTTGCAGTTTGGACTGTCCAGATTGCTTTGATTTAAACATACTGGGGTTTTTTTTCCCAATACTGAGAATGATCTGAGGAGAAGCTACTGGAGTGTTTTCAGAAAGTCAAGTCCTTCTCTTGTCATGCTCCTTACTCTGGCTTCCTCAGCTGCTAGTTAATATTTATGACATGGAATTCCAGGTTAATAATTTCAAAAAGTGTTATTTGAAGACAGATGCTAGCTTTCCCAGTGGCTCTGCAGTTCTGCAGTGTTTCTTATTCAGTCATCTGATCAAAGCCTTTTTATTAAAAAGAAAAGCCCATGTAATAGAATGCTCTACCAGTTGAATAGTAGATAGAAGGGTTAAGACATTGTCTGTTAGTAAAGTTTAATATGCGTCGTATGGGAAATGTGCAGTGTTTAACAAAATGAAGCTGCAGTGTAGTCATGCAAAGACATAGGTTGTGAATCATAAATGATATAAATGGCTCAAATTGACTATTAATATTCTTCACAGATGTCACTATTTTCCTTTGCCCCTTTAATACAAAACTATGTAAGTACAAGACTCTTTACCTACCTCTTAAGAATGTTATGATCTTTTCTTTTTAAATGAACTTGTTTTCTGTTTATGTTCCGAGGTGTCATGGAGTAATGTGATAAACACATTTCTGAATGTGCTAGCTGTTAATACTTATGGGAAACTTTTTAATTAGGAAAAAGAATAAATGCTATATGCAATAAATACCTTTGGAAAAGATTTGAATGTTTTATTTTACTGCTTAGGAATATATTGATGAGAATCTTTTGTGATTGTATGCACCACCAACTCCTCCTTAAAAAAATGAAATTTAAATTTGGTTCCCACAGCATTGTAGGTGCCAGTACGTTAGTCGCACTGAAGTTTAACAATTAAGATACTTTTGGAGTTGAATATTTCAAAGGATTAAGTAAGTTAGAGGAAAATGGGCTAAGCTCTTAATAAGGAAGGCAAGTAACTCTTAGTTGAACAGGTAAAATAAACCTAAACCCAGAAATGCAGACGGTTTAACTGACTTTATTATGTAATTTTAAAAAGCTAACCCTAACGCGTTTAATGGATGGCGGGTGGCTCCGCCAGGCACGGCCCCTGGGGCCTC